CTCATTGACCTGTCAAAAATTTCTAGGTAAGGTGCAGAAAAGGAAGAAGTTACAAGACGGAATGGATCTGTTCGATTTTTTCGAGATTTTTTCAGGAAGTGGTCAAAACGAACAAAAATTATTGAAAAATTTCTGAAACCTGCTACTGATCCTGTCAAAGGTAATCAATTTGCAGATAAAACTCAAAAGCAAACAAGTTACCTCGACAAATGCTTGATGTACGGCACTGTCAACGAATAGGGGTGCATCACTCATGCCACTAAAATTGGCGCTACCTTCGAAAGCATCTGTGATGCCCAAATTCTTCAGTGTACTGACCAGATCGTACTTTTTGTCGAGCTTGAATTTCGGTAACGCAACCTGAAAATATTTGCACCATTTTCGCTTCTTCAACTACGCAACTGGCAACTTTTCCAACTGCGTTGACCAGCGCTAGTGACCAGCCTACTAGCGATCCTAGTGCTCATTTCATCCCGTTAATATCTTCTAAATTGAGTTTTGTAGGAATCAAGACAGCTATCCTGGGCTCTTCTGTGCTAGGCTGCCTATAACGTGTTTTGTTTCCACGACGCAAAAGCGTTGTCTTTGTGACGGAAGAGAAGAGCGGGAGGGGGGAAGGGGAGGAGGGAGGAAGAAGGTTCTGTAGTTGTCTTATTTCTATAGTTGCTTTGTTCCTCGTCATGGATATCAATCATGAGATCCCTACTCGTTGTCAAAAAGGTCAAAATTCACTGGCTCCAGCTACGCATCTAATTCTGGAAACACTCATAATCCAGTTATCTTTCAAAAATCAAAAAATCTACAGCATTCAGTAAAAATGTTATTCTCGCCCTGATCCAGTACTCAACGACATTACATGTTTTTACTAGATAAGGGAGATTTATTGTGAATTTGCAACAAATCTGGATAAAAAAAGTGCAGGAAACATAATGAAAAATACGTACTCGAACATCTCTTGACTCCGCTTCAGCAACCATTTCCAGAAGTCGAGTACCATTAAGCGAATTCTCGAATTCTTCCAGCCCATATTTTTCTTTTGGTAGTAATAAACACATGGAGAGATGCTCACCACGATATGGCAATATCAGAATTTGAACATTTTCATCTGCATTGTATGGGAAGTGGTCCAGTATGTGCATTGTGTCCACCTGTAATTTTTTAGCATGAGAATGTTTGACTTAAAGAACTGGAATTACACGGAGGAAATGAAAAATCATCGTCAAAAGTTGAGATCTGCGCAGTACCTCTCAAGTACCAATTTTTACTGTATGAAATAAATGGCCAACGCACGGGCTGCCCGTGCGAAGATGCGTTTTTTGCAGAGTTCCCCGCAG